TTTGCTATGGCCCTGTCTGTTATATTAACCAGCTCAATACCAGTATGTTACATCCTCTTCCTTTCCAGGCCATGAGTCAGTTTTCAGTGCTGTCTTAGTTTGGCTGACTATTACTCGGTCATGTCATAGCATAACCAACATTCATTTTACATCATTTTTTGGGACTGGTAGAGATTTTTTTGGGGTGCTATTTAACACAGTGATCGTACCCAAAATGTCCTCCTCCCTCTCACACAGACAGAGCCGCTGTGATAGAAAGGGGAGGGCTGGCTGCTGATGACAGCCAGTGTTCGCTACTTGTGATCGCTGTGATTGGTTCACAGCGATCACAAGGCACACAGCCACCCTGATGATGTCACTGGTTGCCAGGAGCTGAGCAGGACGACGGCCAGAGCGTCCCAGCTTGCCGAGAGCTGGGTGGGGAGATAGTGTAAGTGCCATACACATCTCCCCGACCGGTTCTCAGCAACCCGGGACGCTCTGGCTGGCTTTCTGCCCAACTCCTGACAACCGGTGACATCACCAGGAGCTGGGCGGGACGCCAGGGGTGCAATTTTGTTTTGTAGGTATGCCTCTAAAAGGAAGGAATCTGGAGCAGTTGCCCGTGGCAACCAGTCAGCTTCTCTCTCTCATTTTTTAATCTGAACTGAACAAACCGAAGAGAGGAGCTGATTGGCTGCCCCGGGCAACGGCTCCAGATTTTTGTCTGCTCCAGTTTTGATAAATGCCTCATGAAAGTTTCTTACCTGTACACCAAAATGATGCAGGTGCTGAGGAAGACGAGTCCTACAGTGAACAGGAACGCCAATGGCATGTGATAGGGAAGCCAGGCAGGCTTGACGGCGGGACAGGCGGACGCGTTGTACTCGGGAGAACAGCCTTCGTTCAGGGTGACGTTGCTGTAATAGCCGTAATACATCACCGTGTCCGAGAAATAACCCTAAAAGTATTTTAAAAAAAGACTCTTATTGGCATTCGCCGTTCAAATATCTGAAACAAACAAACAATTGGCGCTTTAAATATTAAAATTTAAGATCAATTTGGAACTCCAGCAAATTAAGAAATCTAACCCTTGCCGTACGGCTACCCTGGCAATGCAAAGGCTATGTGCTCATCTAGGGGGACATAAATAAAGCAGATATACGCACCTGATCCTCGGCCCTGTGGCTGATGGCACTCACCTCTATCCCCCTCCAGTCCTTGTGTGGAATGTCCCTCGGTGTCCTCAGGTCTAATGCAAAAGGACCTGCGTAAGATGTCACGGGTCCTTAGACCGCTGGAGCTCAGGGGAAAAAGAGGCTGCGGAGACTGGTCTTGCAGCCAGCTGGGATTGAGGAACAGGTGACTATATCTGCCCCCTAGACTAAAATAAGCACTTAACCCTCGCAGTGCCAGGGAGAGCCTCACCGCAAGGTGTTTTTATATTCCCAGAGTTCTTCATTAGGATTGGTGAGCAGGAAAGCTCTTTACATAACGAGCATCCTCTTGCCGATTCCGTCCTTCTGTAAAATGTTAAAATTTGCGGGTGCCGCGCGTTTCCTGGTCGGCCGACTTACCGCCCCCGTCAGGAACTCCAGGCTGGTGAAGGAACGAGGGTTCGGGGCGTCGTGCGGATGCACGGCCTGGGGGGTGACGATGAACAGGAGGCACAAGAGGCTCATGAAGATATTAAACCCCAGGAGAGTCTTCAGGAAGAGGAAGTAGGAGAGGACGCTGGAGCCGAAACGCCCTCCGATCTGCTTGAGGGCCACGTGCCAGGGCCGCAGGGCGAACAGCATAGACAGGAAGGACAGCCAACACTTGTGCGTGGCCTGGAGGAGAAGTGACCAAAAAAAAA